TGCAAATGATTTTCCATGCCTGAGCATAAGGCATCTCTAGAGATGATTTTTTAGAAGTTTGAAGGCTCAAAAATATGAGGTATTCAATTTTGAGGAACCTTATCTGTATAGGGGAAACGCTCCTATAGTTGCGGTACGTTAGAAGCGTTAGGTTCCTATAGTTGTGCATGGAAACTCAATACACAACTATAGGAACCTAACGCTTCTAACGTACCGCAACTATAGGAGCGTTTATCCTATTGGTATCTAGTTTGGAAATCGGTATAAATACCGATAAATCGGTATACCTGGCAACGCTGTTTGGCAGTCCATTTGGCTCAAAACATTCTCTCCGCCCATCTCTCCCTCTGAAGGCCGGCGCACAAGGGATACGTTTTCGGGTTTTTTGACAGATAATGCATGGGCTAACTGTCAAAAAACCCGAAAACGTATCTATTGTGCGCCGGCCTTGAGTATTTCGACAGTGAGCATGCATAAGGACCTATACGCGATGATCGATTCTCTTCGTCGATTTTCTCTTTTGTTAATAACTCACTAGATTTAACGTTTCTCGGTACGTTTGCTGTTGAGCAATTCTCTACAGATTGAAGAATTTTTTAATTTTTTTTTAATTTGTCGGCTCCGATTTTGATGAAAATTTACACAGTTGTTCTTTTTTAGTAAAGATGCCAATTTGTGTTATCAGTTCTTCAAATTGAATCACGACTACTTTTCTAACAGGGCCTGTGTAAAAATAGTACTAATGAGTTAAAAAATTTATATTGCTGAAACGCTTTGTTCGATTAATTTGGTGTCTTGAGCAAAGTTGTAGATATTATTTTGGCAATAATGTTAAAAATATACACTGTAAAAAAATTCGTTTGCTTCAATGAAAAAAAAAATATTTCTTATTAAAAAAATTAATTTCTCAAAAAGTGCATTTTTGAAAATTTTCGTTTTAAGCTTCATTGAAGCTCATAATATTTGCTACAAATTGGCAAAGTTTGGTGATGTACTTTTTGAGAAATTAACTTTTTTAATAATAAATATAATTTTTTTCATTGATACAAACGAAATTTTTTACAGTGTATATTTTTTACACAATTGCCAAAATAATATCTACAACTTTGCTCTAGACACCAAATTAATCAAACAAAGCGTTTCGGCAATATATATTTTTAAACTCATTAGTACTATTTTTACACAGGCCTTTTTCAAAAAGTAGTCGTAATTCAATATGAAAAACTGAGAGCACAAAATGGCGCCTTTACTTAAAAGGAACAACTGTGCAAAGTTTCAGCGTAATTGGAAATGATCGGTCAGGATCGATTTGCGAACCTTCGTGGAATGCCTCTGTTGCTTTTGATAGCCAATACAACCTGTTACTACTCTGCATTGTACAAATTCTGGAAAATTGTTTCGCTTAGCTGTAGCAATGCAAAGAGAAAGTCGATGAAGAGAATCGATCATCGCGTATTCGCACTTATGCATGCTCACTGTCGATTTCTTTTCCCAACCACGTCCGCACAGTGGTCCAAAAACATAAATTTCTGGCATAAATTTAAAAATGATGTTTAATTAAGGCTGTGTTACATTTAGTGAATTTTCTCTTACATTTGAAACTTCGAAAATAAATAATAAAGTTCGGAAATCCCTCTGTTGTTGATCATCTGATTTTCGAGAAGGTGTTTGTCAAAATTTATTCCTGGACTGTCAGAAATAAGTCTGGTACAATAGCAGGTTTATTTAAAAAAAATCCATCTGTCAAATTTAAGTGAATTAAGGCTGTGTTCCATTTGGTGTATTTCCTCTTAAATGGACAATTTTCAATTAAACCTGCTATCCTAGTTGAAGATGCTAATTTCAAATAACATACTGTAGTGGTAATTTTTATACGATAGATGGAGTAGATGAAAGCATAGAGTTGATAGTTCCGTTAGAGTACGGCAGTTTGTAGATTGTTTATAGATATTAGACAAGCGAGCTAGGACAACTTTTAAGGAAGGTACAAATCGGTTTTTTCATCTCTCTTTACCAAACTCCCCCTTTGGAGAGGGGTGGTGAGGGGTGTGTCCCCCCCCGCCACCACTGGCAAAAAGAGATGAAAACCGACCCGCTCAAGTACCAACTGTGTGTTTGAAACAGTTCTACCGATTTTTTACCGCACTTCAGTTGTTATTTGAAGGTAGGCATCCAGTCGTAGGTTTGGAAATTGCAACTATTGTTTACCCCTACCACGATATGTGTCTAATATCTATATCCAATCTTCACACTGCCGTACTCTAACGGAACTATCAACTCTATGCTTTCATCTACTCCATCTATCGTATAAAAATTACCACTACAGTCTGTTATTTGAAATTAGCATCTTCAACTATGTAAATCGTTGACTTCACGTAGAAGTAATACTAAAAACATATAGTCAAAGTACATAACTCTGGATGGGAGCATACCATCAATTACTGTCAATGGTCGAAAGGTACAGTAGCAGCACCTACCCCACCCGTGTCCCCTCGAGATCGTCAAGTCGACGATGACAGGAGCACATATCGTGGTAGGGGTAAACAATAGTTGCAACGCACCTACGTTTTTTTGCTGACTACATTGTGTTTGGCAACAAGCACAAAGAAAGTAAAAAATACCATGTAGTAAAAAATTGCTATGCATGGTATTTTCTACAAAGACTGCATTCAGTTTTACTATGAAATATTCTCGGGGTTTTTACCCTGGCTTTTGAAGATTTTACTATGTAATAGTTGTTTATACTATTCTGCTTTACCTGCTCTGTGATGATTTTTGTTTTTCAATTAAACTCTGGATTTTATAGCACGCTCACTTTATTTATCATTCTTACACATAAAGACTATACTCACAGACAAACAGACATAACACTCGCAAGTTGTTAATCGAACAAGCATTTAACGGACAATTTAAAAGTATCGTAGTTGGTAGTACCGCCACCTTTGGCGCGCATAGTCAATTCCCTTGCGTTTGACGTTTACACACTACCGCCATCTGTTCAGTGTAGTGCCGACCACAGTGTACTCAACAGATGGCGGTAATGTTTTAGCGACGATGTTTTACAGTGAGAAATATTCAATGTGTTATGTCTGTTTGTCTGTGCTATACTCCTACAAGTTAGACCGTATTCCTAGCCTAACCCAGATAAATAAAAACGGACACTCGCACCGCACTCTAATCGATCAGCATAAAATTATTACTGCTTTTTCCATGCCAGATTGAAAATCTCTCGTTCATTCCACACGCCGATGCAGCTTCTTGTTCCGGTACATTTCATAGACATTTGTTTCCTAACTCTCGATCAACGAAATGATGCTGCTCCTTGCCGTGGTGGATAGCTTTATACTTCCTACTGTAATATACGAATAACAACAGATGATTTTGAAATGAAAAGTACAAATTTTCTACATCCTTACCTTGCAATTCCAAGTTTGATTTATTCTGCGGATTTATTTTCACCTCAAACCTCGCGAAATAGCGTTACAACGACGTGAGAAAATAAAGCAAAGTGAAAACAGCGATTTCTTGTTGTTTACAAATGGCTTCCATCAAAACATTCGGATGTATAAAGAATACCATGAATATGGTATTTACAACCGCAACATATTATCAGCAAAAAACTGTCGCACCGAAGCTTTCTATTTTACTACAAATGCGGTTGAAAACAATCGAAGAAAATGGTTCGTGTCCACAGTCGCATGTCGCATGGTAGATTCAATCATTTTAACGATTACTATTAGCCGAAAATCTCAACTACGGTTAATGGTTAAAAATACTATATAATTTCTTGCTAGTGCATAGTACTTTCTACTGAAATGCGCTAAATACAATAAGAATTGTCGTAATTTCAACTATTTTATGACATGGTTAAAATAAACATAGTTTTCTTGCATTAATTACTACACAATTATGCTCAGTGTTCCTTCAAATAACAACTGAAGTGCGGTAAAAAATCGGTAGAACTGTTTCAAACACACAGTTGGTACTTGAGCGGGTCGGTTTTCATCTCTTTTTGCCAGTGGTGGCGGGGGGGGGGGGGGGGATTAGGACACCCCTCACCACCCCTCTCCAAAGGGGGAGTTTGGTAAAGAGAGATGAAAAAACCGATTTGTACCTTCCTTAAAAGTTGTCCTAGCTCGCTTGTCTAATATCTATATACAATCTTCACACTGCCGTACTCTAACGGAACTATCAACTCTATGCTTTCATCTACTTCATCTATCGTATAAAAATTACCACTACAGTCTGTTATTTGAAATTAGCATCTTCAACTATGTAAATCGTTGACTTCACGTAGAAGTAATATACTAAAAACATATAGTCAAAGCCTGCTATCCTGCTATTGTACCAGTTACCTCTATGATACTACCAATTAGGAAACATTTAAAATTGACCGTTAAATACGTGTTCGGTGAACAACTTGCGAGAGTTATGTCTGTTTGTCTGTGGTTAATCGATAACTTTCCATCTGTCAAATTTTATAATATCCGACTTAAGTGGGCATTTTATACGATAGATGAGGAGATGAAAGTATAGAGTTGATAGTTCCGTTAGAGTTTAATAGAATAGCTCCCTAATACAATTAGAATTGTTATTTTGCTTTACGACGGGTATCATCCAGACCATTTATGGAATACATCATTTGGGTTATCGTTGATTTATGGAATTTTTTATTAGGGATACCCTAATAAAAAATAACCATAAACGAACGATAACCCAAATAATTGAACTTTTCCACTAATGGTTTGGAAGATACCCAGAACACGTCGTTAAGCAAAATAACCATAACAATTTTATTAGGGTATGGACGAGGATATGGATGACCATAATTTAATTTCAGGTTATTTTTATATCCGTGTACATTCTCGGAGAATTATTATGGCTGCGTCAGTGCCTACCATCTGTGACTGCGTTCTAAAAATTATTAGGTACTAGATTATTGTTTACAAACAAAAGTTTTTCACGTTTTCGTCCTTCCTTTTCGACGGTTTATAGTTTTCATAAAAAAAAAAACATTTTTTGCTAGAATTAAAATTGCTTTTATAAACCACAAAACACATTACAGAGCTCCCTACCGATGGATGCTTCGGAACAGGCTGTTCCCGGTAAAAGTTCAGCTCCGGTTGTCAAAAAGTTTCTTAAACCGATCAAAACCAAGCTCCGCCTCAAGAAAGAAGACGTCCGCCAGTGTCGTCTCTGTATGCGAGTTCTTCCTCGAGCGGACACTCATGACACGATGGCACCTGGATCGGATCTTTGCCGGAAGATCCTGGACGCCGTAGTGGTGGAAATATTCTCCTCCGATAGAGTAACATCAGTGTGCATCAACTGTATAATGATGGTGGATATAATCAACGACTTCCGGATGACCTGTAGGAAGGCTGATACGCTGCACGGGACGAAACTGATGATGTTGCATCCCGGCAGCTGGCTGAGCGATGAGAACAAGTTGAGCCTGGTTTCGTGTCATCGACTGCTCAAGCGCAATCGAGCCGAAATGGATGCTCTGTTCAGGTGTTCTGGTGTGAATAACCAGGAGATCCATCGGTTGACCAAAGGAAAGGAGATGGTGCTGGAACCGATAAGGGAGCCGGTGATGAATTTTGAACGAGTTGATGTGGCGGTTATTTCGAAATCGAATGAAGAGAAAGCGGAAATGAAGACTGAAGAGAACGTAGACAATGGCCCGGAAATGAGTGAACAGTGCGGAACAGAGCAGGATGCACAACTCGAAGAGGCCCGAAGGATGACGGCAAAAAAGGAGGCAAAAATGTACATGTGTGAGCTTTGCGGAAAATTGATGCAGAAAATGTACATGGAGGAGCACGAGAATATGCATATGGGTCAAAAGCCGTACGAATGTACCGAGGAAAACTGTAACAAAACATTCGGCTCCAATGTGGTGATGAGTATACACATTATCAATGTTCATAGGAAGGGACAGCGGTACGAGTGCGAAACGTGCCACAAATCGATAAAGGGCCTGGCATTTTACAATCAGCATCTCCAGACTCACCAAGCGACCAACTCACTGAAGGTTCCGTGTAAAGTTTGTGGGAAGACTTTTTACAAGTAGGAATTTGATCGTATTTTATGGGACCGGTTTGTACTATGGGTTTTTATTTCTTATTTCAGGCGCTACCTCAGAGACCACATGTTCGTCCATACGGGTGAGACGCCCTACAAGTGTGAGTTTTGTGATCGAAAGTTCGCTGCCAGGAACAACTTGGCGGTACACAGGAGGAAACAACATTCAGATAAACTGGAGAATCAAGGATAATGGCATGCTGTGTTGTAGCCTTTTAAAAGGTGTGTTGCTAGAACCATTGGCCGGTTAATGATTAACATGGAACTGGAATGATGGGATTGCTCATTGTTCAGTATCGGGTATTCGAATGATATTACTTATCGTACTAAATCGTAAAAAAGAGAGCTTGTTCTCTCAATAAAGATCAGTTTTGTCTCATCAGTCAATCGCGTGTTTATTTTTTCAGATAATAATCCCCCCTATTCTGCGAGTCACGTGACTCTCTGTCACCGGTGAGGTGACAATAGTCACCTCGTGTGAGGTGACTCTCCATTTGATTTACATGGAGAGTCACCTCACACGAGGTGACAATTATCACCTCACCGGTGACAAAGAGTCACGTGACTCGCAGAATAAGGGGGAATGTAATCACGATAGGGTAGGTGAACCAGTTATGGCTGTATGGTCCTATTATTGTGTGTTTCAATGATGGTCTATGGGAATTCCTCTCCTGGATGAATGTGCTCCCTCTTACTGCGTCTTGTTAATGTAATTATTGCTTTGAAAGTACTTCAGCAGCCTTCTAAAGGGGTTTTTTCGACTTCAACTAACTTCATCGGCCAACCATCATGTTTGAGTCGCTAAAGATTAAGGGCAATTTTGGTCGATGTAATCGCCACTATAGGTTCTGACGTCGATCATGTCAGAGAAGTGTCGATACGCAATCGAAACGTGGACAATTTGTATCCCAGAACAGTCTAGTTGCTATGTGTATTTCATTTTGAGCATCACAAGTTGATTAAGAGCTACTCAAAATTACCTCTTATTTTACCTTATAATCAAAAGCTATTTTGTTTCAAAGGACAGCGCTTTTTTCGTGACGAAATAGGTAGATACTACCTAGAGTAGCAACCCTTAATTTCTGGCTCGTTGTTTGTACATCCATATCACGCTCAGCTATAAATAAGCAGTTGTAAGTGCCACCATCTGATAAGGATCTCACTAGCTTGAAAAGCTTAACTCATCTGTTGGTTTAACTCATTCGAATGATACTTTTTCCGGTGGTTGTTAATGTTCTGCTTTGCAGCAAACCGTCGGTCGCAAAACTCACAACCGTAGGGTAGCTCGCCCGTGTGAACCGCCATATGGTCTTTGATGTAGCATCTTAAATGAAACGATCCTTATTAGTACCACGCGCAGCATTACCACCCCACCCACAAACACATACTTGTAGAAACCTTTCCCGCAGATACTGCAGGCCACCTTGTGTGGATTAGATCGATTATCTTTGTGGATGTACATGTGTTTCCTCAGCACAGCAATTCCACGTAGTTTTTTCGAACAAAGTGGACAGCTGTACCACTTGTGTTTCTTCTCCGAGTGTACCGTTCTTATGTGAGAATTTTTCGTTGTCAACGAGAAAAAAGTTTTCCCACAACCCTCCTCGGAGCAATGGTACGGCTTATCATCCAAATGCCGATTCGTGTGGTCCTCTAGTTTGGCCATGGGTACCAGCTCCCCGCAAATCTCGCACATTTGCGCTTTGTTTCTGACAGGAACAAACCTCCTCCGTACAATCGGTGCTGCCTTTTCCACCTCTTCATCTAGCTTCTTGCCGCATTGTTCGCTCATTTCTGGGTCACTATCACTGACATCCTCAGTCTTTTTTCCAGATTCATCTTTCGTTTCCAGCAACACCTCTTGCGTTTTTGCTTGCATTAACTGATTCACGTTTCCATCGTCCAAGCCGGAACACTTGAACAGTGCATCCATTTCGGCTCGGTTTCGCTTGATCAACTTGTGGCACGCTTCCAGCGTCGACTTGTTCTCGTCGCTCAGCCATCTGCCGGGATGCATCATCAGCAGTCTCGTTCCGTGGAGAGTGTCCGCTTTGCGGCATGACGACCGGAAGTTGTAGATTGTATCGACCACCGTTATACAGTTGATGCATACCGATGTTACTTTATCGTAGGATGTTATTTTCACCGATACGGCGTCCAGGATCTTCCGGCGGAGATCCGATCCATTTGCCGTCGCATCTCGTATGTCCGTCCGAGGAAGAACCCGCATACAGAGGCGACACTGGCGAATGTCGTCCTTTTTGAGGCGGAGCTTGGTTTTGACCGGTTTTAGGTCTTTTTTGGTGTCCGACGAAGAGGTCATCTTGTGGGAGTTACGCCAGCTGAGGGATTGATTCTGGAAATGCTTTTTCGAGGTGCTCTGCTTTGCAGACGAAACAATAACAATAATCTAACGGTACACAAAATGGTAAACAATAATCTACTACCGCTTCGGAGAATTATTATGGCTGCGTCATCGAATCGACAATGATTTGTATTTAATATCGCCCATCTCTAATCAACAACAGCTGATTGATCGAAGTTCCATTCTGGATCAACAATAGAAAAGGGCCCTTCAGCATTTGTAAACAAACCTTTCTAAAGCCCTTTCCTCACAAAGCGAAGGCCACCCACGCAAAACAAAACTATCATCGGATAGGGGAAAGTTTCCCCTACACGATAATGGTGTTCGTTTGCGTGGGCGGCCTTTGCTTTAAGCGGAAAGGGCTTTAGAAAGGTTTGTTTACAAATGCTGATGGGCCCTTTTCTATTGTTGATCCAGCATTCGTTGTTGAATTCGGTATATCCTCATTCCGGCAAATTCCACCATGTGCGCACCGCAGACCATCCGGAAACCGATCCAAAGAAACACTTCAAACCGGTCAAAACCAAGCTGCGCTTCCAGAAATCCGACGTCCGGCAGTTTCGCCACACGGTGAATGAGAACGACCCAAATTTGAGTTAAGTTCACTCATAATCGCCAAAAGTGCAGAAACTCAGCGATGAGTAAATTTGTCTCATGGTTTCCTGTGGAAAACCTAAAAAATCTGCCCGAAAATGAGGAAATTAACGAAAATTTTATTCAGTCTCGGAGTAGTACCAATAGACTGAGTGAATTAGCCCAGAGGCAGGCGCTTAGGCAACATGTTATACCGTGACAGCAGGCCCAGCACGGTAAAATAAACGATTTGAGCCCGGGACATGCTGCCTACTGTCAAACGCTGCTGTTAGTATAGGTCACTGGCCTGTAGTGAGTCCAATCTTTACTTTTCTCAAAAAAATTATCTCAAATTCCCTGGAAAAACATAGGAAAACAGGCAAATTTACTCATCGCTGAATTCCTGCGCTTTATGTGATTTATGAGTTGACTAAACTCAAATTTGGGTCGTTCTCATTCGCCGTGCACTGTTAAAGTATTCCGTCCTGAAGAAGAAAGAGGTGGTGCTGGAATCGGAGCAGGAGCCATCAAAAAAGGCTCATGAAGCCAGCGATAACGAACCGGAAATGAGCGAGCAGTGCACAGCAAAAAAAAATGTAATATCGATCAACGTAATTCAAGCTGATGTATGAAATAATGATGTAATAGCAAAAAGTAGATACAATATTACATCAATGGATGTAATTTTGTTCGCAAAATCGATGTACATCGTACAATGTGATATTACACAACCGATGGATTGACCTGGTTGCATCAGTTTCGATGTAATATTCAACAACTTTTTTTGCTGTGTGCGGAATGAAGCTGGATCAGCAGGCTCAACGGAAAGAGCCTCAACAAGTAGTCGTTAGCAAGGATGCCAATAGCAGCACATGTGCGAGTTCTGTGCGTTCTGTGGTAATCTGGTGAAAAAGAGCCTGGTGGAACATCACACTGGGCGGTAGACTATTGTAAGATGAGGTTTTACAGTCCGAGAAGGACCCAGCTAACAATTTTAGCTGCAAATTAGCTTATACAGCTAAAAATGGGCTTATACAGCTGATGTTCGCCTGTATAAGTTAATCTACAGCTAAAATTGTTTGTTGGGGAGATGGTATCATTTCCGGACCCTTTACTTTGATCTAAGCAAATGGATGTAAGAGTGCAAAAAGTGCAACAGAAAGATGAAGGCTGTTCAAATGCAGAGGCACATGAAAATTCACAAAAATAGCGAAAGTAACCTGTATTAGTCGGCAAGCAGCATTTGTGGAAAAATGTATTACAAGTATGTGGGAGTACCTGAAGTCGGGGTTTGAATAGGTTATGCTAATCAGACTACCATTTCTTTTAGGGGCTACATGAATGATCACATGGCTGTACATACGGAGAAACTCGCCTATCTGCGGCCGGAAGTTTGCGGCGAAGAATAATTTGTGTACCCACACAAAGAATTTAAGTTAAGTTTTCATTATTAGGGAGGCTTTCAGTCTGGGACTGGTTTACCTCCTCCACACGAAGAAGTATCATGCGGATAAACAAACGCCGAATGAATAAAAACCATTCGATAGCTATATGAACTAAGCGAATAAAGTAGTTTCAGATTCTATTGCAATTATTTGATTCACCTATCTCCTGTTGAAGTCTCTTCATTTGACAGACGGTTGCCATGCTTGATAATAAAAATACAATGCGTCTCCATTATTTCCCCCGCTTTGAGGAGACAATCGAATGATGCTGGTATTTGTATACATTTAGGCGTTTCATACATAAATAAAGAAAGTCGCGAGCTTGGGGTTCTGCACGGCCGATGTGATCAACTCAAAATTGAGCCAAACTTCACTCAAAATCTTAAGAATGTAAGAATGAATAACATTTTCCACGATTTTCCTCACATTCGAGCAGATTTTTGAGAATTATGTTTAGAGGTTTAATTTCATTGTATTTAGAGGTTTGATTTCACAAATTAGATTGCATGCCTAATTTATAATGAATTTGATTAATTTTCTAATAAACAATGACAGTAACCCATGTTGCACTTACTTGATAGTTCCAGCTGTCACGTCTAAACTACGTAGTGTTACCACAACATTTACCAGAGCTGATGTCTATTAACTGAACTTTCCTCCCGCATGTTGCCATCAGTTCTAATTATTGAATTATTTAGGTTTGATGTGTTTCTGAACCATTCCATATTTTGTAGCGTTACTTTTTGTTTCAATAGTGTTCCGTTTGTATCGTCGTTTGTGTGTCGTCTTCATTTTATGTAACCTATTCCTATGTCCATACAGAAATAGTTTAAATTTCGAAGTGTAGTGCAAAAATGGACGCTGCAAGGAATCCCCTTTAAATACTTCACTGAATTATTTTGAAGCTCTACGTTTAATTTGTTGCGGAATTCTTATAGGACTACCTTTATACAACTATATGGACTACACTCGAGACTACACTTATTCCCAACGATTCGTTTGGAATTATCTTTAAACATTTCTATCGTGTTCTCTTCAGAACTATCCTGGAATTCTACTTGGAACTGCCTTGGAATTCTCCTTATACTTGAAATAACTTATAATAAGAAATCCCTTGCAGTTCTCCTCAGGATTCTGTTGAAATTAAAATGAATCCAAAACTCTGCTCATAACTCCCATATATTTTGTTTTCCTAAAAATGTCTATGCTATTTTACAAACCCGTAAAATCATGCTTTGAACTCCTGAAGAATTTATTTATCGAATTTCATTGGAACTGCTCCAAGAATTTTCTTCAGGATTCATTTGATGCTCTCATTGAATTTTTTTTAAGAATTATCCTTACGTTTCACCACGAATCAGGAGGTTCATAACTACATTTGAATACTCCTCAAAATCCCCATTTATTTTTTTTCATTACTTATTTATGCCCAGAATTTCATTTATGTGCATCTGAAAATTATGTAGAAATTCTCATCGGAATAATTTATATATTATATATTATATGAAAAGTTCTTTCTCCGAGTTCAAGATTTTGAAATTTTTTCAATATTTTAATGCTTGTTTTTAAATTTATATGATAGTGGAAAATATAAAAAAATCAGACACCTGCACCTACGTTTCAAAATCTTTAAAATTTATACAAGCTATTCAAGGTCCTAGATCCTAGACTTTTTTTTTAGGGCTTCGAAATGTGGGTAAATTAAACCTGTGCGTTGTCACACCACGCCGCCGCTGCTGGTCAATTTGTCACGCCCTGCTGCCGGTGAAAATCAACCAGCACGCCGCCGGATCAAAATCAGTCACCGCGGGTCAGAATTTTCAAAATTTTGCCTTGTTCACTGTACAATAGAATTAGGCGAAGGTATCATCTGCCAACGAAAAAAAAATTCCTGCGGGGTGGAAAATTGCTCCTTGAATGTCTACAAAGTTTCCTTAGCTTTACTTCCTCATCTTATACAAGCTTCCATCACTTCCATGTTCCAAATTGTTTCCAAGTTCTTTCAATTGCCATCAATATATTAGATCACCAATGACCTCCAACCCTCATGAATGACATTCTAATCTAATCTAATCTAATCTAATAAAAACGGAGCCAGTACGAGAAAGCATCCTGGAAAATGATTAGGTTAGATGATGTCTTATCATTTTTCTTGTCTAATTGATGTTTACAGCATATCTGAGATATGATATAAACATCAATACGACAAGGCCTACTGCGTTGTATTTGCCGCAAAGATGATTCTTGGAAATGAATGCGAACATTTCTTGAATCTACAGGGGTGGAAGCATGCGTGGACATACCGTACCAAACGCTCCGAGTTGCTATGTGTAGTTGTGTGTAATGTGTAAATATTTGTTCAATATTGAAGAATCATAAAATAATGCAATGGAAGGATCTTACCGAATTTTTTCCTATGTTGGTAATCTGAGAACTGCGAACTAACTCAAAATACTTGTCATCTGGGAGCCAAGTCGAACTGTCAAACGAGAGCCAAACATTCAAAAGAGTTCAGAAGTTATGTGGGTAGTTACTGTTTGAACCACAAGTAAAGGTATTGCCACCTACTAAAAACAAATTAAGAATTATAATTATGAAACTGTCGAAACATCAACCTTCGTAGGCGGAAAATATAAATCATCGAACGTGACCTAGGCCAAAACTGTGTTACGAATTGCTGCAACAAGAATTTAATCAAACTTTATAAAAGTCATGTGAGCTTTATGGGCAGGTGCACTCCCAACACCATGTATACGTTATTAGTGGAGCAGAGAAGGAGGAGCTAAGAGTTCATTTGACAGCATATATATACGATTTCGTGAGCTGTTTCAACAAAAAATTGAAGCTTCGAAAGATTTTCAAGATATTTTCTTGCTCAATTGAAAAATTAAACCGACAGAGTTCGCAATACCCAGTTGGTAATGATTCTTTTGCGCTTAAAAGTTTCATTGGATGCATCCGCTCCTTGTTTATCATCCAACCCTCAGCAATGACATTGAACATTTTCTACGAATTTTTCTTTGGAACTGAGGGAAACAAAGTTCCAAAACTTCTAGTAAGTTCCAAAATCAAATACATCA